TATATTAATTTATACAGAGGACATATACAACGTTTTGATCTTTCATAATGTAGCAAAACACATCGAGTTACGTTCACATATACTGTAGTAACCAATACCGCCACCGCGAGCGCTCCCGCAGTTGAACTCAAGAAGGCTACTTTTACAGGTGTGTGTTTTGGTTCGAAGAAACGTAGTCTGCTACACAAGTTCAAAGGATATTTCGCACTCAGTGTCGCAAGGAACCTCCCAGCAGGCCTACAATATACCCTTGCATAAGAGTTTTGTTCAGACCTAATGTTCTGTGCCCCATGCCAAGCCACCCGTTCGGCCACCTGTTTCTGACGCTACAGTGGAACAGATTAGGGAGAACTTCGAAGTCCACGAAAGTCAACGCGACGTGCGTCTCGGGAAACTGTTATTCGAAATGTTAATGTGTGGCGAGTGTTACGGAAACGGTTACACTTAAAAGCGTACAAACTATCCATCGTTCAACACCTTACAGATGCAGATAAGGTAGTTCGTAAGGAATTCTGTATGCAAATGTTTCATCGGATACAAGACGATGTGAAGTTTCTGGACTCCGTAATTTTCTGTGATGAGAGCACGTTTCATGTCAGTGGTAAGGTCAATACCCACAACTGCAGGATCTGGGGCACTAAAAATCCACGTGTCTCCCTGGAACATGTTCTTGGTAGCCCCAAGGTGAACGTGTTTTGCGCCCTCAGCAAAGGAAGAGTGTACGGCCTCTGCTTGATGGAGACGACCATTACCGGTATCGTATATCTGGACATGCTCTATGTGTTCCTCATTCCACAGTTAGACGAAGATGACCAAGAAGGACACATTCACTTCCAGCAAGATGGCGCACCCCCTCATTACCTAGGAGAAGTGCACGCGTATCTCAACACCCGTTTCCCAGGTTGGTGGATTGGTAGAGCGGCGCCGATAGCATGGCCACCTCGTTCCCCGGATCTTACTTCCCTGGATTTTTTCTTATGGTGATTCGTTAAAGATCGAGTGTTCGTACCACCTTTGCCTGCAAATGTTGTTGAGCTCCGAACTTGAATTACTACCTCAGTTGCAGAAGTGACGCCAGAGGTGTTACGTAGCGTGTGGTAAGAGACCGACTACAGGTGGGACGTCTGCCGCTTTACCAGTGGAAGTCATATTGAACCATAACTATCCGAGGTAAAACTCGGTGTGTTTTGCTACATTATGACAGTTCAAAACGTTGTGTATGTCCTCTGTATAAATTTATATAAGCTTTCAAAGTTGTAAAGCTATTTTTGAAACATATTTGCCATATAATCCTTCGCATTACTGAAATGAAAGATGAATATCAGATTTCCAGTATTCTGTAAGGTATGTTACTCTTTTCCATATAGATTTCAGTATTCATTGTAATTCTGTAAGATATATTGTAATTTTGCCATATAATCGTGTCCAGTACTGAACGGCATTCTAATGAAAATAATAATAAATGGAAACGTCAGTATTACTGCTTGCTATATATGATTTATAATGCTTTAATGTAACCAAAAACTATGTTCTGTGTGACTTTCAAGTGTAAGCTGTTACCAAAGATGTGAGGTTAAATAAAAGTACGACGGACGGAAGCAGAATTTTCTTTCAAGTTCCCCACTTTCAGCTTTACTAAACACAAGTATTCTATGTATGTTTATAGTTCACAATGTCCAATGCATTTGGGTAATAAAATGGTATGACTTTACAGGCACTGGTGAGAAACTTTATGATTTTGCAACCCTGACCCCTTGTGCTGCAGAGGTTCTTACTCTGTTGTGTTTTTTTTTTTTGAACTGGGTTCAATATCACTTCACTCATATCCGTTCCAAAGGATATGAGTGAAGTGATATTGAACCCAGTTCAAAAAAAAAAAACACAACAGAGTAAGAACCTCTGCAGCACAAGAGATGTGGTTGCAAAATTATGTATTGCTATTCATGTGAACTCTAGGTTCCGAAGGGGCGGAGGGGAGTGTTATTTTTGTTACTTCTACGTGGATAGAATGATAAATAAGAATCAGTGTTCAATCTAACCCTGCTTTATTAAGACTAACCTTTTGATACAAAAAGGCGTGTTATATACAGGATGTTTCACGACTTTAGGACATAACTGCAGGAGGTGATTTCCTAGGTCTTTGTGATCAAATAGTTCATATAAACATGTGTCCGATTTAGGACGGTTACAGAGTTATGACCGTTTTTCCATTCCCCTACACGCCCTCGTGTAAACCGCAACTGTCATCTGACGGGTCGCTATTTTTAGCCAGCTACAGACAGAGGGTTCTCGTTATTTCGTTATCTCTTGAGAGGTACCTAAGGCCTGGTGGGTTGGTATGTCCGGCCACGGCTAGTGTGGCGGCTACTGGTGTTCAGAACAGTTCTCATCTCGGTGCGTCTGTTACGTTCACGATGCCATTTACATATTCATTTGAGGAGTATGCAGATATGATTTATGTGTACGGGTTTTGTGACGGTAACTCAGTTCTTGCCGTAGCTGAATATCAGCAACGCTTTCCGAATCGTAAAATACCGAACTGGAGAGTGTGTACTGGAGTTTACCAGGTATTGCGAGATACCAGAAGGCTTCCCGGCGTTCGTATTGTAGCTGAGCGTGGTGTTAATGAAGGCGTCAATGAAGACGGCATTGTTCATATGGTACACCGCAGTCCACGTACGAGTAGGCGAAGAATTGCCAGGCAGGTCTCCAGACTTAAGCCCACTGGATTATTGTGTGTGGGGATGGATGAAAGAACTGTTTTACAATGTGAAGCTGGCAACGCGAGATGCTTTGCTCGGTCGCATTCTGGACGCTGCTGACCACATAAGAAACAGCCAGCTGAAGCTGCTACGTGCTACCCGCGCGGTTCACAACCGAGCGGCAGCCTGTGTTGCGGCCGGCGGTGGCATTTTCGAAAATCAGCTTTAAACACCAATCAGTTCAAATTAAATGTAATTTCACGAAGTTGACTTTACATTCATACTTTTAATGTATCATGTATTATGCTGGTTTATTATTTTGTTCCGTTTATTGTCAGTAATCGTTACTTTCTATTCTGAGTTTAAAACAGTCATAACTCCGTAACCGTCCAAAATCGGACACGTGTTTATATGAACTTTTTTGATCACAAAACCTAGGAAATCACCTCCTGCAGTTATGCCCTAAAGTCGTGAAACAACCTGTATATTCACACACACAACCATGGTAACATGTAACAATAGAGAGATCCTGTTTTTACACACATAACAGTAAGGAAATTAGGAACAGCGCATGTAGCGCAGTCTGTTATTGAAAATTGTTTACTACGACGTTGCCAACTCTAGCACTATATTTTAACATTAGAGAGTTGCCGACATAACACTTCCCCTTAAACAATTTTGGGAGTTTAAAAAATACTGATTCATTAATCAATATATAAAAAAATATTACTATTTAGAACATCATTTGGGAACATTATTCTTAGCACAATCCAAGTGAATTAATAAAATCAGTATGTTTCCGTACATTTAAACCTTTCGTGCAACCATCAGCAACTAATTAATTTCCAGGAATGTAATGTACTGACAATTCCTTTGATTCAACCCTCTCTCTTACAAAATGAACTCTTATGTCAATATGTTTTGTTCGGTCATTATTGACAGGATTTTTNCTGGGCCAAGCGGGAAAGAATTCTAGGAATTTTAAGAATTCTTACTTCAAATAACGAAACATAATTTTTACAGAATTAACGACGAATTAAATAAGAAAGCTACCGTGGTGTGTGGAAAACCTTTAGTGAACCGACACTCTCGGCAATTTTAACTATTGTAATTATTTTAATTAACTGGAACGTGGCTATTTTTAACAAAGTGAAGTTTTGTGTGTTGGTGATTTCTTTTTCTACTATAAATGCCTCTGATGATGGCTCCGTGGTGAGCCGAAACATGTAAGGCAGGTGGTGACGAGGTGGAAAACTTATAAAAGTGTCACATTTGACGGAAGGAACTTGATTGTTAATTTGTTAGTGTGACGGACCAGAATGAAAGACCTTAAAAAAAGACCTTAAACAAAGAGACAAGTTTCATCATGGCCACTTAAAAGCCCTTCACGAATATTGATAAGCTCAAAGGACGGGAAAATTATAGAGAATGGTGCTTTGATATTCAAAATGTTCTAGTGATTGAAACTGTGTGGGCAGCAGCCAGTGGATATGCTGCAGAAGATGCAACTCCCGCATCCCTCAAGAAACAAAAAGGACGAGAAAGCCATCATTTGTCTGAAATTGGAGCCTCAAGTTAAATCTTACGTTGTCCAGACAACTACAGCAATGGAAGCCTGGGACGCGTTGGAAATAACATTCAAAGATCAGGGTGTCAATAGTTGGAGAAGTATTTTAACTGATTTGTGCTCTTTGAAACTTGAGGCCTCTAAAAGTATGCAGGAATATGTTAATACCTTCATGTCAACAAATCTTAGATTAGTCTCAATGGGCAAAAAATAGATGAGCTATTAGCCGCTTTAATGTTAAAGGGTTTAACTAAAGAGTAGTCTCCCATGCGCATGGTACTTGAAAATTCCAGCTGACTTTGACTAGTGAATTCATTAAATCTAAGTTATTGCAAGATACTGAATTTGGTAACAATGCAAATTCAGATTCAGCCTTTCTGTCCAGAGATAAGTTTAAACGTAAACCACCAAAATGTCAAATTTGTGGTAACCTTGGCCATGTAAACAAAAACTGTTGGTTTAAAGACAAGGATAAGGCAAACAATAATAATCACAGCGATCAACACAACTAAAAATTTAAGGGAGTTCAGTCTTCTAAATCAGTTAATAGTAATGACGAAAATAAAGAAGGTATAATGAAAATAACAGGGAGGACTCATAGGATGGTATGGTAGCATTCTATTTTATTGATCATGCTTCCGGTGCTGGTGGCCTTTTCTCATTTAGTCAAGGAACGCCTACGTAGAGATGGCAGCAATAATGCCACGTAACGTCACCGCAGCTATGTTGCCCTCCATTAACGAAGAGTTTCCGCGGGGTGATCCACAGATAGCGATAGATGCCATAAATAGTATGCAATGGAAAAGTTTTTACAACAAAGAACATGGCCGTGCAGTTGCAAGTTAGATTCATTACAAAACAACGCAAGTAAGTCTGAATTAAATGACTAATATGCATACATTATCTGTTATTGTATCCATATGTATATTGAATTTCATTTAGTTCCTGAATAGTTAATATGAGATGGAAGTAATATATATTTATTACTTAACTGACATCTTGAAACCGGCATGGTATGAACGTGGTGATTGAAGTTTTGTAAAAGGCGGTATCTATCAAAGTATTGTAATTAGTGAACGACACGATACCAGACTTGGAAAAGTGCATCATTGTGCCCTTTTAATTTATATGAGTTCTTGCAATTTTAGTGTCAATCGAATATATGCACACATTTTTTATTCCTGTTAAAGGTCTACAGCAGCGTTTACTTTTGCAGATATGCAGTTCCAAATACTCCATTTACAGTCCCATCTAGTGTAGGCAGCAATGAGCTTAATTCGCTGATTAACGAGCTTTTGAAAGGTACGTAGATATTTTATTTTTCATTTTTTAGTGAAAATGTAAAAGAATCAAGGGTTAAGGGTATGTGTGTTAATCCCTCTCTTCATCCTTATTGTTCTTGAAGCTCAGTCCTTTGCAAGTTAAGTGTAAGATTTGCTTTGAGGTGGAGAAGTTTGGGTAGAGAAAGTAGTTTTGTATGATTTGTAATAAGAAGTGAACATTTTAAATGTGAATTCTGGAAAGTATTAACTAGTAACAATGAAAATCATGTCGTGGTTAGGTAGTTAGTATCCCTGCTTTGTATTTGGAGAGTCCCGGGTTCAGATCTCAGCTTAGACACAGGTTATCCTGGCAAATTTTTTATGGCCTTTCTTATTCCTGCCAGACATGTCAGGATAATACCCAGATTAGGCCTTGACTGCTTTGTTCCACATCCTAATCACTTCATTATTCACTAATATCCTATCAGTTATTACAGTGTAGTTAGATCTGCTGACAGCATCATTAAGTTTTTTCGGAAATAAACAATAAGATGCTTACCTTCACACAGTATGTAATCTTAGCTTGTGCAAAATTCTTCTGCATGTAGTTTCATACCTTACGTAGAATCTAAGAAGTATAGAACTGAATGTTCTCATCGTTAGTGGTTTATACCTGAGACATGTATGTAAAAGTACTGATTAAGTTGCAGGTATCCAGCAACATTCTCCAGCTGTTACAATGCCCAGACTACATTTAGAAAAATAATATTATCATGTGTATGAATGACTGTTGACAGGGTTTTGGATTGGAGGTTGGATTTATTGCCCTCTTACAGGTCATAACTACAAATAACTATAACACTGCCACTAATTTTCAGTCATCTTTCACTAATCATTTCCTGGTAACATGTTTTAACAGAGTAACTGTGAAGGCCCATTCATATCATCCTGCATTGATTGTTTCTTACACGTAGCATTTCCTACATGACAGATATTCTTTAGTACTGTGTTTATAGATACATTCATATCATTATGCTTCAATCGTTCCCTGCACGATGCGGCACGGTCCGTCTCCGTGCGGAATTTTCGGAGAGAATATTTTTCTGATACGCTACATGTCTGGACCGCGACGGATGCAATACGTACAGTATGAACGAGTCTCAGTCGTGTTCATACACATCCAAGTGCACTTCCATCATGGACAATGAAAAGTTGATTGAATTAGTACGGGAGTGTTCATTTTTGTATGATTTACAGGACAAAAGATATAGTGATACCCAAAAAAAGGACACAGCATCTAGAGAAATTGCTCAAAAGTTACACACATCTGGTAAGAAAAGAAGTATTTTATTTTAAACATTAATTAAGTGTAGTGATACGTAAGTTATATTGTAGGCCTATGTGTTAGCCAATTCTTCCCTCTGGCGAATTTAGAAACCTAGCAAATTGTTCTCTGATGCGAAAAGCAGCGTCCTAACTCTTGCCTCCTTGACGTCATATTGTATTGAAATTATTAGGTGAATTATGTGAAGTCTGGTCTTGTACATGAAAGTTCACATTACCACCGGTTTTAATGAAATTGTGTAGTATGCATGTGGTCAATATAACTTTCTTTGCCTTCTCGGGTTTCAATTGTATTCTTCTGTTGTACAAACAAAACTTTTGGGTTAGAATCCCAAATGCGTTTTCAACAACTTTTCGCGCACGTGACAACCTTTTGTTGAAATTACTTTTTGTCAGATCGGCTTCTTGTGAAGCAGGATATGGTCTCATTAAGTAAGTCTTCAGTGGGAAGGCTTCATCTCCAATTATGATGTGGGGCATGGGTGTTACTGTCTCTGGAAATGGTTTATCTTCAGGTATATTTAGCTTTTTCTGAGCCAGATATTTTCCAAGCTTCCAGTTGGCAAATATACCCCAGTCGCTATTTTTTCTGTAGGCGCCAATATCCACCGCAATAAAATTATAATTGGCATCCACAAGAGCCATTAACACAATTGAAAATGTCTTTTTGTAATTAAAATACAAGGATCTGCTGTTAGCTGGGGCTGTTATTACAACGTGTTTACCATCAATGGCACCAACACAGTTCGGAAAGTTCCACGCATTCCAAATTGCATTGGCAATCCCGCACCATTTTTCATTTGTTGGAATGGGCATATACGATTCCAATAATTGTTGTATAATAATGTTGCATACGTCCACAACAATGTTTTGCACGGTGCTTATTCCGAGGCGATAACTGAAGGCTATAGATTTAAAAGAGTCTCCAGTAGCCAAGAATCTGAAAAGAAATTAAAGTTAAGTTTAAAAATGGAATTGGGTCGATTTTATTTTAATTTAATTGTTTTCTTTTTCAGATAAAGAGTGTAAAAAATCCTGGAATGCTTTGAGGAACGAGTTTCGACGTGCAATTAAGAGGCAGAAGGAAACTAAAAGTGGGCAAGAATGTGTGCCTGTAAAAAAATGGAAATTTGAGGATGAGATGTCCTTTCTTCAACCATATTTAAAGGACAGGACTGCCATCACTTCCATAAATTGTGCAGAAGGGGAGACACATGATGAAAGCTCCAGCAACATGGAAAGAATCCCAGAAGATAACCCGACAGTTCCCATATTTTTGTCTCAACAATCGGGTACGCCAGTCTCCAACATACCAAAGTCCACTGCCCCATTGGTGCGCTTACCCACAAGGACGAAATCACGACAATTCCCAAAGAAACCTGAACCTCAGGAAACCTCTTCGGCTGTGATGATGAAATATCTACTGAATCAGAAGCAAGCAGATGACATCGATATATTTTGTCCCAGTATGGCAGCAACTGTAACAAAATTTCCACCACGCCAGAGCGCTATAGCAAAAGCACGAGTTTTTTCGGTCATTTCCAAATTAGAAATAGAATTAGTAACCCAACCATCAGAACAGCCAGCGACGACACCCACTACTTCTCCTGGCCCATCTATCTATAGCTACTCAAGTGACAGCTGGAGCTCTCAACCGTATGAGGAGAAACAAAATTCCCAAATAAATATCAACTTTCCTCAAGAATTTAACACGGCACAAGAACAAGCACTAAATGCTGTGCAAATGTCGGACACACTTAAAGATTATTATAATAATTTCTGATAACACTGTATTGCTACATAAGTAGAAATTAATAAAAGTAAACATACCTCAAGCAAACCGCTAGTTTTTCTTTAGGAGTTATTGCTTCCTTGAAAACCATGTCTTCTTTAGTTATCATCACTTTGATTTTTTCCAACAACTCATTAAATTGATATTGAGATAAACGAAAATATTGAAAAAACTTTTCGTCATCATCCATTAGATCTTTTTATAGAGTCCAATATTCTCCTTCTGTCTTCCTTTTATTAAGCATTTTATGGATGGAAAAGCGCTCACGTTTACATTTCTCACTATTTTGAATATTCTTTTCTTCTACTAAAACTGATACAACACACAATTCTTCAGTAGATAGATGCAACATGCTTACAAGAAAGTATGGGCTGGAATGGTTCGATGTCCGATGATATGAAAAGTTCGTAGAAATGTCGTGCAGGAAACGATCGATGCAGGATGATATGAAAGCTCACACAAATGTCGTGCAGGAAACGCTACGTGTATGAAACGATCAATGCAGGATGATATGAACGGACCTTGAGAGTCTCACTGAATTACATTCCAAATATTACTGTAACTACAGCACACACAAAGTTTCTCTGTCTTCACAAGATTTTCCTGGTAACAGAATTTAACACTGTCTGGCATGCATCCCATGACTGAACTAACTCACAGGCTGGCGACTATTTTGGACTGACCTCCAAGTCTTCTCTTCAGAGACTGACTTTCAACTGAGCACTGGACTCTTTGCTCCAGACCATCCTGGTTATAACATCTTGGCATGGACTGCACAAAAAATACCATTCCTTTGTTTCTGTTCAGTTTTTGCTTATTAGGAATCTACTGCTTAACAATGAACGTTGTTACATTGTTTGTTTTGCAGCCATTGCCTAGAAACAAATGTTGCTTTGAAGCGGTTTGCTAGCAACAGCTGTTTCTTTGCACCACAGATCTTGCTTTGAGCAAATACACAACGATATGATCGTAATTAAATGCGAAGAAAGCGTGCTGAAGGAAAGGAGAAATACACACTGTATTGCACACAGTTTCATCATTCTTTTTTTTTTATTGCTAGTGGGGTGGGACTAAGTCCCTTGTACTGCAGCCACTTCTGGCCTATTGTACCAGCCCCAGATGATAGTTGAGGGTGACTGTGGAGCAATTGGTGGAATGAAGATTGGCAGGGGAAACTGAAGTACTGGGAGAAAACCTGCCCCAGCGCCACTTTGTCCACCACAAATCTCATTTGACCAGACCCGGGATCAAACCCGGGCCGCCGCACTGGGAAGCCAGTGACTAACCGCTTGAGCTATGGCACGGACACAGTTTCCTCATTAATTCTCTGCTTCTTATCATGTAGTATCTGACCCCTTCCATCCCTGATCAGGCTCATAACCTTTAAGCAATGTTGCCATTCTCAAGCAGAGACATGGCATCATGAATGTGACATGGATTGCAGAGTATAAGATTTATGAAGTACATTCTTGAGAAGGCTGCAAGTGTCATGATATACATACAACATTTTATGGCATTTGGTTTAGGCATTCAACTAACATAATGTTATTGCCTTAACAGTTTGAGTGGCTGCATTGTCAATGATATTTATGGGAGGGATTTATGAAGTATGCTGCTGAGATAGCATCAGGTGATATCACTTTACACACTCACTTCCTTCTTTAATGCAACTCTGTTTAAGATTTGTCTGTAATCTAAATAATATTAAAATTACAATTAAACTGCTAAATGTTTTGGCCCTACTTGGCCATCCTCAGGTAGCTGTTCATTTGCTGAAATTGCTACACTGCATTAGTTGTTAAGTTAAAATATTCCAGTGTTATCGCATAGTTGTCATTCACATTAAATATACGAAGGGCGTTCCGTATATAATGCCTCCTATTTTTTTGTGTTAATCTGTAACGTCTGAGCTGGATGTTGGTGGTGTTGTAGCAAAGGTTGAACCTTCCCACCAATGTACTGTTAGTTTGGTTGTTGTGCGGCAGATAGCGATGGCAGAGCAGTCTACCAAAATGGTGTGTACAAAACAGAAATGTGTTACTGAATTTCTCACTGCCGAACAAATTGCACCCATTGATATCTGTCAACGCTTGCTAAAGGGGTACAGAGATGATACAGTGGATGTCAGCACAGTGAGGTGGTGGGTGGTGCGTTTCAACAGTGGTGAAAGTGAAGTGCATGACAAACCACGCCCTGAGCGTCCCTGCTCAGCTGCCACTCCTCACAATGAACAGTGCCTCATCCATACAGATTGGCAGATGACGACCAGGGAACTGTGTGCATGGCTTAATATCGGCTGTAATGCATTGGAAACGATGTTGGGGAAGCTGGATTATCGCAAAGTTTGTTCCATGTGGGTCCCGCGAATGCTTACACAAGACCACAAAACTCATCAAATGGAAATCTGTCAGGACTTGTTGCACCAGTTTGAGGCTGAAGGTGACAAGTTTCTGGACAGCATCGTCACTGAAGATGAGACGTGGTGTCACCACTACGAGCCAGAATCCAAAAGGCAGTCGATGGAGTGGCGACATCTGGATTCCCCAAGAAAAAAGAAGTTCAAGACAGCCATTGGCAGGGGAAGTGATGTGCATGGTCTTTTGGGATAGGCGGGGTGTGATTTTGTTGGATTTCCTGGAGCCTGGTGAGACTGTCAATTCTGAATGCTAAAAGATGATGCTGACTAAGCTGAAAGTCCGCATTTCCCAAGTCAGGCCAGAGAAGCAGACAACCTTTCACTTGCAACACGATAACACTAGACCCCATTCCAGTTTGGCGACCACCACCCCACATTGTAAAGTTTGGCTGGACTGTCCTACCACATCCACCTTATAGCCCCAATTTAGCACCTTCAGACTTCCATCTCTTCGGGCCTATGAAAGACGGACTACGTGGGCAACACTTTCCAGACAACGATGCTGTGATTGCAGCTGTAAGAAAGTGGCTAGCCTCTGCTGGGGCAGACTTTTATGGGCGCGGCATACAGGCTCTTGTTCATCGCTGGCGAAAGTGCATAACGAAGGGTGGTGATTATGTGGAAAAATAACTGTAAGTAGCTGAAATCTTGCTCTGTTTAACTGTGTTATTATGCTTTCTGTATCTATTGTAGTTTTCATTAAAGAAATAGGAGGCATTGTATACAGAACGCTCCCTGTATTTTCTTAAGAACATCACACTTTATGTTTTCATATGCTACTTCCTTCTTGCAGTGTCCATAGTTTTTTTTTTTTTTGCTAGCTGTATGAATATTGGGGAGTGTTATCATTTTTATTTTTATTTGCCCCGTTAGTATGAGTATGAGGGGAGGGCCATAAAATCCGGCTATCACACTGCAACCTTCAATGATCTATTGTGCTTCCCCTTTTGATTACCCCTTTATTAATCCTACACTTCAAATGAAATGTAGGACTTTGTTTATGGGGGCATCATAAAAGTCACTTGGTTCCATGAAGAACTGACCCAGGTGGAGAAATCTTAAGCAAGCTATAGCCTCACAATCACACAGGATGTGTGTGGCTGATTTGTTTTCTTGTAGGCACCTTTCACAAGTTGGGTTATCTGTCAGTCCCAACTTGAAAAGGTGTCCTTTCAGGTGGCAGTGTCCAGTAAGTAATCCTGCCACCCATCTTAGCTGATCTCTGTTGCCCCATCAGTATGTATGTTCCCATGCATTTGCTCTGGTCAAGCACTGGAGCAACTGCATGGGAACATACATGCTAATTGAGCACATAAAAATAACGATAACACCACCACATCGATATTCAAAGGGCCAAACAAAACAACACAGAAACACTGTCATACACTTGACTGCTGTAATGACACCTGTATGAAAGAGGATGTCTAGCAGCATTAGTAGTGACAGTTGTGAGAACTATCACATGATGTGTGAACGAACATACATGCATAATAAGTTTGTTTCTGAAGTAACTTTATAAAAATGGTAAATTTTCTATGAAATTTTTGCTGGTTGCATGAGCATTCCAGATGAATAGATGCCAGATAGCAAGGAGTTTAATGTAGCAAAGAGTCTTAAAAATGTCATGTTTCATTATATAACAGCTTATGATTATATATATATATATATATATATNCACATTCGTAGGAAATGATCCAGAGAAATGTTACCGAGAAATAGATTTTGACTTCCTGGTGTATGGAGAAGTCTTACGAGTCCCACTGTCTGATCATCTAGAAGAGCACTCCATATCAAGTGAAGTTACAGTTGATGTGGAGTATTTTGAGCGAGTTCCTGCTCCAGAACCACATGACTGCTTGCTTCATGATGACTGGGTGTCAGCAGTACAAGTCAGGGATGGTTGGTAAGTTCCATATTTTATCTGCCTGGTAAAAAGGGGCTTAAGAAACTTGTATCTTTGTAGTTGTCAGTGATGAGACATTACACAACCGTGCCATGTTATAACTTGGTTTACATTTATCAAAATTAAAAAAACTGTTAAAATATCATTTTCTTTAAATTATAGTCCCAATTTCTCTAATATTTGATAGTAAGTATTTTTTACGAATGGGGGAGAAGAGGACTGCATATAGGATATTGGTGGGAATGCCAGAACGAAAGAATCACTGGGAAGACCAAGGTGTAGGTGGGTGGACAATATTAAAATGGATCTTAGAGAGATAGGATGGCATGGCATGGATTGGATTGATGTCGCTCATGATAGGGACCAGTGGAGGGCTCTTGTGAACACGGTAATGAACTTTCCGGTTCCATAAAATGCTGGGAAATTCTTGAGTAGCTGCAGATTTGGCTTCTCCTCAAGAAGGGCTCAGCTTCATAGGTAAGTAAGTAAGTATTTTTTAAGGAACAGAACAAGGTGCATATCTGATGAAGCAAAGTTGAAATATGGTACCCTACTTTAAAGCACAAGAGCCAGGATAGCTCAGTCAGTATAGCAACTGGCTATGGACTGGATGGTTGGGCTTGGATTCCTGGCAGGGCAAGAGATTTTTCTCTGCTTCACGGTGTCCAAACTGGCTATGGGGCCCACCCAACCCTCAGTCAAATGGGTACTGGGGTTAGAGCAGCCAGGACATGAAGCTGACTACTCACCTCCATCTAGTGCCAAGGTCAAGGATGGTGGAGCTTATCTCCAATGCCCAGTTGTCTTAAGTGCATGGTGTTTAATTAGTTAAGCACAGCAACAAGTTTACCTTGCATGGCTTTAATTAACTAACTAACTACATGGCCTGTAGTCCACAAGCGAACTAACTGACCTAGCAACTGCCACTTGTCAGCAAAGTGCCTTGCTTTAAAGTAAAAGAAATTAAAATTTATCATTAGAAATGTCATACCTAAAACCAGTGAAATAAGTGTTTGATGAATTAAAATATTAATTCAATAACAATTATGACTTAAGTTAAAGTTTTGCTCTTGTCAGTAATGTTAAAGCAGTTAAAACAGTTGAATTGTACAGGGTATGTAGCATGTATGGGGAAACAAGACATTCATGCAGAGTTGTGATTGGAAATCCCTGAGAAAAAGCCCACTTGTGTTACCAGTGCATAACTAGGAAGATAATATTAAACTTTAACTTAGTGAGATTGGTAGTGAATGTGAACTGAAAAGAGCTGGTATGCATGAACATTTACAATGATGCACATTTGAGTTCCACACAATGGCTAGTTCTTGAATATCATGAATTGAGGTCACTTCATGCCATTGCTGAAGCTTTACATATTTCATCCCAGAAGTTTATTTTTGACAAGGGTGGGCATTTGCTGAAGGAATTATTGAACCTTGCTGATCACAGTGGCCATGCTGTCTAAGGTATGGAATGTCTTCGCCTGCTTGAACACTGGGATTGTGGGTTCAAATCCCACCCAGGGCATGGATGTCTATCTGCATTTATTCTGTGTTGGTATTTTCCTGTATAGGTAGCAGCCTTGTGATGGGCTGATCTCCCAGCATGGAATGCTACTGACTCTCTGTAAGACTAGGAAACTGAAGTGAAATGGCATTTCAGAGATGCCCTATGCTCCAGAGGGAGCAGCAGGAATTGACAATGACGATGACAACAACAACAACAGCAACAACAGTTGAACCTTGAGTTTTAAATTAAGAAAGAAATGTTGCTTATTATGTCACAACAGGGTACATTAAATGCTACCATGTTACTTCATATGTCATGTAGATTCAAGGTAGGTTATAATGATGAATTTATGTGGACATAGTAATGATCCTTTGAGTTTTGTAACAGTTGTATGTCAGCTGCTCATGGAATAACTTTTGCCATGGAGTTTGTCTTAATTAGGAAATATAATTGATCCTTTCAATCTTATACTCTGTTCTTTGTAGTAGTTTGAAATGAAAGATGTAATGGTAAAAATTTCAGTCTTTTCTGATTTCTGTAATATTGAATTTTATTAATGAAGTTAACTAACGGTTCATTTGTTGCCGTGGAAACATGTTTACTGTGCTGTTGCATAGTTACAGCTGTCTGTTTTGTGCTCCTCTATTCTGGCTTTTGCTGCCATGTCGCGCGTGTGTGTGTGCGCACGTGCGCATGTGTATGCACGCACATGATGGTAGCAACTGTTGTTGTTTTTGTTATTGTTTATATATGACAATGTGAAACTCTCTGTTGACAAGTAATTTCCTTTAAAAGGGTGATGTATATTTTTTAATTTAGGATACTGTCTGGATGCTATGATAACACCTTGCATCTGTGGACAGCAAAAGGGAAACACCAGCTGACAATTCCAGGACACACTGGTCCAGTTAAAGCTGTAGCATGGGTGACACATGATGACATGTTGGCAACATTTGTAAGGTAGTACATAAATACATGTTACAGATGACACCAAGTAATCAGGGGTTAACATTTCATACTATTCAAGGGGTTCCCAGTTTGACTTTTGGCTGGGAGATCTTCTCTGACAGGGGTTTAGCTTTCCTCAGTTCTTTCACTGGGCCGACTGTCATGTTTTGAGCAGTTCTCAGAGGTAATAAAGAAGTGGGGTACCTCCCCACCATTACATAATTTTAAAATTCAGAGAGAATTTGAAATAATTTTTAATCTGAAAAGTAAAAGGGATTTTCTGTACCATAATTTGTAACTTCTTGTCACATTCTGAATTAGTTTTCTTTCTGGGTGTTCTCTGTGTTCTGGCAAGCTGAAAAGGTTAAAGTAAAGCATGAAGATGCTCTCGTCCTTTTCCTGACACAAACTTTATCTGTGTTGGAACACCCACAGTCTAGACTCCAAGAGACTGAAAGGTTGCAAGTTCATTATTTCTGCATAATGGAAGCCAATAACACTAAGAATTGCACAGAAATGGTTATTCAGATGAAACAGGATTGTTGTAAAGAAGCTGCTACTGCCTTTTTCAGCAAAATGGCATCACATTCACCTTGCTGCCACACTGACAGGCTAATGGAGGTATTCAGAAATCTTGTCTCCATAAAGTTCTGATCACAGTATTGAATTCTTTTATGTAGGGATACATGAAAATAACTGTGCAAAGAAAATTACCATTCAGGTCTTCTGATGAAAAGATTAAAATATATAAAACTGTAATTTTTCCCAAAATTACTGGGTTTTTGAACTTTGTTTGGTATTCTAAAAACTAGTTATAGATTTTAGAATACCAGACAATGGACAGAGTCTGAAACCCCAGTAATTCTGAGTGTTACACACCATTGTCAGAACCCTTTAGAATCCACTTAGAATTTTTCCTTTTGCTTTTTTTTTTTTTTTTTTTTAAATATGAAATTTGGTCTGTGACAGAAGAATATGACCTGATGAGTATGCTGTAAAGACTGCTTGGAGTGAAAATGGAGAAAGTAACAGGAAGCTAGAGATCTTCAGCTGTGCATGGGTTTTGGCAACAAATTTGAGGATGGCCTCAGTTAGGGTGATTTTGGTCAAGAATTACAGTCGGGGCTGTGTGAAGGGCCTTTACGAGGCCAGAGGTGCACAGTGGACCCAGTAGTGGTCTGAGTGCTTAGTGTGATTGAAAATAAATTTCTTAAGTTGGTTATTTAATAGCAGACTGAAAATATATGTCCCTCCTAAGTTAATAGCAGTACTAACAGGAGGGGGAGAAAGTTTCATGAGGATCTTCATAATTTGTATTCTTCATCAGATGGGTGAGCAAGACAAGGAGGATGAAGTGGGTGGGACATGCCAGAGATGGAAGTGCATACACAGTTTTAGTCAGAAATATTTAATTTGATCTGAAAGAAGTGGTGTGAGAATGTGAACTGGTTTCATCTGGTTCAGAATAGGATCCATTTGTGGGCTCTTGTGCCCATGACAGTATAACCTTCAGGTTGCAGATAGGTGAGTAATACTTTGACTAGCTGAATGACTGCTGATCTCTCCAGAAAGACTCTCCTACGTGATGTTCATTTTACCCTTAACTGCTATGCAGGACACAGGTTTCCTCATAATTGAAATGTAATTGCTGAACTATTGATATTCATATGGAAATAGTATTTGTTACAATACATGGGCTTACCATGCTTACAGGCAGGAATCCTTGATGTGAGTTGTCAAGGATTCTTTCTCTGTCAGATTTCCAAATATAGGTTGTATTTGAAGAAAGTCATCTTCTGGGATCTGGCGCCGTGTATTCTTTGTTTTAGCCGACGTTTCGGAGGAACGTATTGCCTCCACCTTCAGGGCAGGTGAATTACGTTGCGAATAGAGAGAGCAGTAGCTACTGATGATGGAGGCGATACGTTCCTCCGAAACGTCGGCTAAAACAAAGGATACACGGCGCCAGATCCAAGAAGACTTTCTTCATAGTCATCACCGTGAAAACCTCAAAAATTACATAGGTTGTATTTGTCCGAACCATGACATCATTATGTTACATTATTTCCAGTGCATCACATGATCAGACAGCCATGCTCTGGGAATGGAATGTATCTACTAATGCTGTGGAATGCATTCATGTCTGTCGAGGGCATGAACGTGGTTTAGAGTGTGCAGGGGTCAGTCCTTGTCAGTCACGAATGGCTACAGGAGGCTGGGACACACACCTCAAGATCTGGTCAGCAGGTAAGTATTATCATGTGTATGGAGTGATTGTAAATGGAGTTTGGGTTGGTAATCAGATTCATTGTACACTTTAACACATAATACATGACTACACTTTGTAAATCACAGTCACACACAATTTGTTACAGTCTCCACTCTATCAGAAATTGCAATGCTCTGTGATAGAAAACATTCTTGCAAAGACCAGATAGTAAGAATAATATGAATTTCATTTTCCTAATGCATGGAACATTTTATCTTTGTCAGGTCTGAAGGTTTAACAGACTTAAGATGAGTGTGTGAGGAGGTGCAAGATTTTGCACAGTGGTGAAGATTCATTTTGTTATGGAGTTATGTTACCAACATTCCCCAGTGGTTAGAAAAATTTACATTTTTGTAGAAATGATACATGTGTCTCCTATGAAAGTCATGTTTCAAAATATTTCACTTGCATCTATTTTATGAGTCGTGCATACCATGCAGCCTCTTTTGGTGGGCTCATGCTGTATTTATGTGACTGCATGCAGTAAATGTATTCTGTTCATGTTTGAAGCCTAATGTTTGTTTGTATTTCCCTGTAACATATAAAGTTTTGAGAAAATATTGTAAATTCATAATACTGTTCATCATATCTCTTAAGCAGACAGGACGAAGCAGTACACGTGCTCAAAGTTGTCTACATAAGTTACTGATAATACATCACAAGCCATACATTATTTCTTGCAGTAGCTATAATTTACAGGGACTCCAAAAATAAGAGTTTGAATGACTCATTGAAGAAGTCTATTTTACCTGGGTGGCAAACAGTGATTTACTACTGAAATGTGTAATTTTTCCCATCTTGTTTCCATATAAGCTGTTTCCTTGATTGTTTGGTGGTTTAAGATTACAGTTTTCTGAAATGTAATGCGAAATAGTTTGGTGGCTGGGCACCAACATTTTGGGGTAGGTGGATATCAACATTTTGGAATAACCTGCAGCCTCCATCTTCAGGGTGGGAAAGTGCCCTGAAGAAGGAAGCATCACATCCTGGTGGTCCATAAGCTTGATTCTCACTGCCTTGAGAATCTTAGATGTCACAAGGTTTGAGGTTGTTTCAAAGGTGGATCATATAATACAGAGTTTCCAGCCAGTCTCAGTCTTCAGTGGATTTGAAAGAAGAAACTCTTTGAAGTTATGGCATTTTATTTCAGACATCCATGAGAAATCAAATGAAGGAAGAGAATCAGTTTCAAAGCGTCTGAAAACAGAACATGGAATGTCTCAAGTTAGGGTAAGGAAACTCACCTTAGAATCCATTTGCCTTGTGACCATAATCCATTCCCACTGCTCTCGGTAACTTAATGGTCAGAGTTCTCAGCATAGTGATATGATTGTTGCAGTTGATTCTGGGAAAAACTTATGATTCCTACTTTCCTTGAAACAGTTCTCTCATTATAGAAAACCTAGCAGAATGAATGACTACTTAATATGCAGTTCTGCACCCCTTATTCAGACATCAAGTTAAATATAGACTTTATGTCACCTTGATATTTTTATTTTATGTTCCACATAAAAATGGAAAGTGGGCTAGGAGTTAAAAAACCTTATGCATTATGGCTGAAAGCCAGAATAGTGGAACAAAGAAGCTAGGTAGTGCCATGGTAAACACGTTTCTGCAGCAATGAATCAACACGCAACAATAGAGGAACCTTGGAAGTGATGTTTTCTAACTCTCGAGTTTCTCTCATTTTGACTAGCAAGTGTTCCACCATTTTCTCCATTTTAGTAGTACAATGTTATAACTACCCAATGCAGTCTTCAGTCTAATAATTAAATTAATCCAATCCTTCTGATATCAGTTGCCACATGACAAGACACAGGGCTTTAATTTGGGGGAACTGGCTTTTTTGCATGCCTATAGCTCGTAACTACAAATAACTACAATGGTTTCACTGTTTTACATACACTGTGTATCACTACTGCGAACACCATGTCTTCCCTAGTCTTTAGTTGGTAGTGGTGTCTAATAGTGTAACTCAAGACTAGACCGGTAACTGCCAACTCCAGCCTCTTTGATTTCTGACTAACTGTTAAGTTAGAGTTACTTTACAACTGGCAGTTTACTGCCAGTCAGTTCATCTTGGTGCCAAGCCCCTTGAGGCTCACGATTAGAGAACTTTTTTTCCGCAACTGAACCATTGTGGTCATAGTCCTTATGTAACATCCTCTCTGATGAGAGGAAGGGTTTGTCTCTTATGAATAGGCTTGGCTTTTGTCAAGTGAACGTATCACACATATAGCATGTTATTGAAAATTCTTCCTTTTGCACTATATACAAGTCCTCTGTCAGTCCAGGCTTTGCAAAGCAGATCATGCCTATTTTACGTATCTTATGCTAAAATGGTAGCTTAGTTACTTGAATGGTCATAAGCTTGACCACCACCAAAGCTTGTTATATTTTCTGTGTCTGGCTTTGCCCTGTCCTGTGCTGCGAACATGTTCATTCTCATGATTTTATGTGACTTCTGCTTGTTGCCTGCAAAGTTTTGTTTTATGATCGTATACATACAGAAGGTTGATTGTTGAGTCCAAGTCCAAGTCACATTGCGACTGACAGTCAGTCAGTCAATAAGTCTTGGTGTCGAGCCCCATGTGGTGCTCATGACCAGATATTTATTACCTTTAACAGTTATGGTCTTGTTTTTGTGGGGGCACCCTCTCTGACGAGAGGGCTGGTCCTTGCCAGTGCAGTCTTTCTAGGGTCTGAGTCCCTTGGGACTCGAGACCATATTTTACTGTCTCAGATTTGAGACTTCCCTTTTCGTCGCCTCTTATGACTCGCAGGGTCACAGTGGAGGTATTCGACCCCGCCTTCACACCTGATTGTTGACTCTCTTGGTTCTTACTACATAGCCCTAGCGCAGACCACACAGAAAACATCGCTTTCACAGTTCCTCTGTTATTGCATGTTGATTTGTTGCTGCGAAAACATGTTTTCTGTTGCCTAGCAACAATTGTCTCTGTTTTGTTCAAATATTCCAGCTTTCAGCTGTCATGTCACCATATTCTAAGGAGGTCATGCCTGACTGTCCACATTTTTCATTTCAGAAACAGTTCATTGTATTTAGATTAGTTTTGGTATTGAATGTTAACAGTGAAAGTAGTTGTGTAAACTTGATTTTGATTCGTGTCAGCCCAAATAAAGCCTGCTTTTCGTGAAACTTGTTGAACTTTGTAATTAAAGAAAATATCATACAAGGAAAAGAAAAAATAACTGGCTTAAGATGACTTGTAGATCTCATGATCTACAGTTTTTGCGTGGAATAATTTTGATGTGTATGTTTTAGAAAATACTAGCAAATATACTGCTTATTATCTTTGTAGTGAGTGATTGTATCTACAATAAATAAACACCACAGTCAAAAACTACATGAAATCAGAATTTATTTGACAATATATTTATTGTTCATTGTCCCCTCAGTTTCTGTTATAGAACATTAATGCAGCTTGATAATGTTCACAGACTCCATTAATGACTTTAAAGGGTCACAAAGAAGCTATTTCTGCTGTACAGTGGACAGATACATCAGAGATATGCACCGCATCATGGGATCACACCCTGCGACTCTGGGACACAGTGATTGGTGGCATCAAGAGTGAGATTGTTGGGAACAAGTCTTTTTTTGATGCAAGTTGGTCACCTCTAAGTGGAATGTTAATTACAGCCTCTGCTGACAAGCATATTCGGCTGTATGACCCACGATCCAATGGTTTGTGAAATTCGTTATATTCTTTCATCATGAACCGCCCTGCCCTTTAATATTATGAATTTTTTGATCACAGTTAATAACTGGATGAACAGTTTATTCCTCCACAGTAATGTGGAAAACTAAAATATTATGTGTGTATGTTTATGTATACATTTTATGATGGGAAGTAGTAGTGTCTGAGAACTGCATTTCACTAAACATGGTGTAGTACTGGAAGAAGAGTGTTTGTGTGTATATGTGCTTGCACATGCAAAATGACTTCTGTGAATCCATATTCCTATAACAGCAAACTTACGCAGTAGTGTCATAAGGTCATTGTCATGTGACAATAGAAAAGGAGATTGAGAAATGTCTCATAACTTCAAAAAAATACTGTTTCTTATTTTCAGAAATAGAATCTTATATAAATACAAATGTAAATGTTTGTTTGTCTCTGTTCGAAAATCTCTGAAAGTTCTTCACCGATTGCTTTGAAATTTTGACACAACGTTCCATTCGAATACGCGAGTTTTTTTATGTACCTATTATATAGATGTCACACCTGTAACATGTAAAAACAGGTAAAAACACGTCACATGTTCCGAATCCAGCAGTCGTTTCCATAGTAACGCTAGAACAGTTGCACAGGATAAGAGGTTCCGTTGCGTAACAACGGATGAAACCGGAAAGTATACCTCCATGGAAATGCAGTAACAGTGGGCTGTTGCATAGGAATTGCCGAAACAACAAACGCGTTTCCCCGGAGATGAGAGGATAAGAGGTTCCGTTGCATAACAACGGATGAAACCAAACACTTCTACAAGGTGTTCTGTTGTCCATCGAATACCAACAGATCGTTTCCTAGGAATAACCACGGCAACGAGGACAGAACACGTGAAATCGAACCCTGGGCGAAAGTTCCCTCTATTGCGTCCGAAACCAGGTTATAACAGTCCAGCTCCGAAGAGTTTTTTGGTGATACTGGACGTGATATTAATTGCACTCGCTGGTGTAAACGTGAGCATTCAATAACTTATTCGCTGAATCCGAGATGTACATGGAAGTTACTTGTCGCACTGAATAGGAGACACGTGACCACAACAACGTTACATAGGTTACATGCAACAATTTAAAAGACATCAAGAATATGTCACCCACTAAAAATGTATTTTAAGACTTTATGATGTTAAAATCATGTGTGACGTATGTCACACCTGTGATAGGTTGGTTGGTTGTTAAAATATTAATTGTACTCAATATTAATATACTGTAACGTGTTATACGTCGTTCATTTCGTGAGTATAGTTTATTTTTCATTGTTTTTCGTTTCGTTTTCTTAACTGTTCTTATTTTTCAGTGCAGTTGGCGGTGGGAGTGAGCTGTGTCGATTGATGTGCGTTTGAATTGAAATATTTTGTTAGTATTTTTTTTTTTTGTTTCTTTGTTTTCCAGTTCGTGTTCTTTCCTTTTTTAATGTTTTGCAATTTTATATGTTTTTGTTATAACTTTCTTTCTTCTTCTTCAGTGTAATCGATCTGCTTTAGTTCATCCAAATAATGCCTCGCAGAAGATCAAACTTAGGTCATTGTACTCGCGGAGTGGAAGCAATTCACTTGATCTGCCACAGCAATGCGTGGCCGGGTACAGCTAGTATGAAATAAATATTTAATTTAATATTCACAATTTTACCTGTGGTGTTAAATCCTTGACTTATTAATTTACTGTGCATAACTTATGCATAATTTTTATATTATATGTAATTACATATTTGTGTTTCGATGTTACACCAGTGTTTTTAGGTGACAGTCATATTTTCTATCGATTGAAACATTTGAAGGAAAATAGACACAGTAGGTTCATCTCAGAATGAATTATATATGAGACAGTTATATTTCAGTACATCAGTCACATGTTTTGTTTGTTGGCAGAGGGTTCACTGGTGAAAAGCACATTTACATCTCATACTCAGTGGGTGCAGTCTGTTCGATGGTCCACAATAGAAGACCATCTTTTCATATCAGGATCCTATGATCAGCAGGTTAAACTCTGGGATTCAAGAAGGTAACTCTTTCCTTCAGTTTAATCTGTTTGCATAAATTGATCAGTCATCTTATAATTTCTTTAGATAATACTTCTAACTGCAAGACTTCCTTTCACTTATTACACTCTTCACATGAGATCTGGATACCTAGAGTACAGTGAAATGTCTATAAAATTGTGTGTATGATGAAATTATATTTGTTGTAATGAAATGTCATTGCAGTGAAACACAGTAAAAGTGTCAGAATGATAGTTAGATGCATGTCAGAAAAACAAACTGAAAAAGAAGAAAATTTAACAGTAACAATGAATGGTATCAAAATAACAGCAGTGAACTATAATTTTAATACAAAGAGCGCTAACAATACAGAACATGCAGTTTGAAACAGCTTTCAAAAAATTTGCCACCAGATGCTTCTGTTGTTTGCAATGCAGTGATGCTGCTGATTTTATAATCATGCTAAATCTATAGCAACACAGTTCTCAGAGTTTGAAAATCCTTACCACCTTCCTCCTGCTTCACTGCTAACCATAAGTGTCATGTAATTGTAATGCTATAAACAGTCCCTTCTCGGGTAAGCATGTATGGCAGCTAGGTTATAAAGCTGCATTTGCATTGGTAGCCAGTTCACACCCTGTGTTTACATTGTTGCCTGTCTTTTGATTTGATTCTGAAGAAACTGTAACAGTTAAATAGACTAGTAATCCATATGATAATAAGTGAAAGAACTGAGAACATGGATTTTTGCACAGGCGATTTAGTTGTGCAGCAGTGATTGAATCGAACAAGACGAGAATCTTTCTGCTTCAGTTGAATTGAAATGCTCATGAATTGATCACATGAAAACATGGTGTCATTGAACTCAGATGGACCATTATTAATGTGCCTTTTCTGCTTCGCTTAAATCAGAATGCTTGCCAGTTGATCACCTCAAACACGGTTTCATTTTTCAGTTTTGTTCATGTCACTAGTCGTGCAATCAACCAGTGTGTGTCATAAAGTGACGCTGTTATATGGTAGCAGGGTGGAATGCATTGTTTGGCTGGCACTTTTGGGTTCTGGTTGAGATGAGAGGATGGGTTCTATCTTAGGGTTTAATTCTTGGGGTTCCTCTCACAAAATGCCGTTGCTGTGACCATTGTGTACATTCTTGTAGTCTTCCATAATGAGCGTACCTTTGCAACACTTTTCAAACTCTCCCCCCCTCCCCCATCTCTCTCTTGCACCTGCAATGGTGGATTTTGTAAAATGTGCTTTGTAGTGTTTAACAGTTTTGTTTTTACATATATTGTTATATTGATTATATATTTTTGTAGTGGGATTGGTTTTTATTGTGTTAAACTGATACTTTTGTTAAGCAGTATTCATTAAAGTTAAATGTTTCTACATTAAAATAATATAGTAAATTGGTGGGGTCTAGAAGAAAAATTTGCTTTTCTGAGTATTTCATTACTGCAGGATTCATTAAGATGACAGACAGAGGTTCTCAACCTTTTGGTACTTGCAGCACCCTTGTGTAACCGCACCATGCAGGAACCTCAGCAGTGTTTTTCATTTACATTCTTAATTACAATGTACTACATGTAAACGAACTGTATTACTGTTAACACAAGGTGATACAGAATTGACCCCAGCACCAGCAGACGCCAAGGACAACCTACGGTCTTTCTGAGGGACAAGCAAGCTGCAGGTCACTTGACACCCCCAGAACAGAGCAGGAAGTATCCTGCTGTGTTTTCTGGGAATTTCAATGCTTAACTTTGACGGTACAAGTCTTTGAAAATTTGAGACTTGACAGATACAAGTCACAATAATTTTTGAAGGTGCGTACCGAGCGATCATTAGCGTACCTTCATTTATTTGAGAGCTGTCAGAAGGACCATGTTGTACTTAGGCCCAAATTAACATGGATCTCGTTAGGGACTGGCGGAATGTCAGTGAGAGTAACACCCAAATTTTAGGTTCAGCCAATCATCAAAATTTCAGAGGAGAGGAAACCGGGCGTTCCCGGAACCGTCAGGACTTCTGCCTCTCCAGAGCAGTCAGTCGCCTTAGTGAGTAACAGGAGTGACCACCCAGAAGTTAAATCAGTGTTGGCCTAGTCCGGTGCACAAATTCAAAGTGCTACAGCCTTGTAATGTGTAATTCTAGTTCACATCTATAATAAAGAGCAACAGTGTTGGTGAAGTGTGAGTTTTAAGTGTTCTCTCTCTCCTTGTGTGAGCAAGGCCCAGAAGTTGCCCTGAGACAGAATCTTGTCCTACCGTCTGAGCAGTCGAAACCCCACACGCCTATCCACGTCCCACCTTTGTTTTCCCCGTTCCAAATTCGTGGATTTCACCCAAGTCCACTGGCGCCCATACATATTCAAATTCAGAGTAATCCCACACCCTACCCTGAACCAGACAGCAACAAGGAAGCGGCGGATGAAAGTGGCGACCAACGTGTGGGGCTTGAAGCCTCACTGAGTGGGTCGGTTAAACTTGGGATATTCATTTCTTTTTGCATTGCAGTAGAATTAGAATGGAGAACTGAAATTTATAATAAAATTACACTTAATAATGCCATTTATTGTATAAAAATATGAAGTTATCGTAAAACAGAAGGAAGATGTTTTATTACAAATATCAATTTAGAAAGTTTATGCGCATACATATTTTATCTCAGTAAAACAAAACAGTTTTGGAGGCTGTAGTGTTGGTATTACTGATTGGAGGTACATTGTTGAGATGACCTCAAATGGCATGATATACATACCAAGTTTCATGAAGATTGGTTCTGGCATTCAGGTAATAAAGTATTAATGTTATTACCTCTACAGTTTGAGAGGCTGTAGTGTTGCTATTATTGATGAGATGGATTTGTGATTACATCGTTGAGATGGCTGTGTTTGCATGATGCACATACCAGGTTTCATGATTTTTGGTACAGGTGTTCAAGCAATATTAAGGTTTTGCTTCAGAAATTTGAGAGGCTGTAATGTTAGCATTGCTGATGAGAGGGACTTATGAATTATGCTGTGGGAACTGCCCACGTTCAAGCAAATGTTACAGTGACAACGCAAGTATCATTGCTTAGCAATGGCAAGTAAACAGCTGTTGCTCGCTTTGCCTAGGAACAGCTGTTTACTTGCTGTTGCTAAGCAATGATACTTGCGTTGTCACTGTAACATTTGCTTGAATGTGGGCAGTTCCTACAATGCCATTGAGATGGGCTCAGGTGCCCTGATATACATATCAGATTTCATAAACATTGGTTTGGGCATTCTAAAGTTGGGGGGAGGGGGCAAAATACACATACAGACTCTCATAAGGCTACTTTTATATTTTCAAAAAAGGGAAAGGCTAATAACCATTCTTCTCTTCAGAGCCCCCCCCCCCAGCACACTGGTTGAGAACCACTGCAGTAAGTGTCTGAAAATAATTCATAAAATTACTTTCTGAGCCTTAAAAAATTTTCTAATGCTCATCTTGATCTCATCCTGAACTGAAAATTCATTCTTGTACATGACTGCTGTGGGTGACAGAAAAATTCGTTTTTTTATTGTTTAAGAAAAATATACATGGATCACATAAAGACGTCTCTGGTGAAAACACTGGTGAACAGTATAATGAAAGAAAGACAGTGCACATATATAATGTTATATTATGGGTCCTGGCCACTATTTAGATTGTCTGTGAATGCAATATCAGTGTACTGGAGGAATAGATGTATCTATTTTAGAAAACAGTTAATCCATCTTGCTCATTTAACTGAAGTAATGTAATATCTAATGTGTGGTTGTAACATTGTCATTTCAGTCCAAAGGCTCCACTCTTTGATCTGACGGGACATGATGGAAAGGTTTTGTGCTGTGATTGGTCGAAGCCAGAACTGATTGTTTCTGGAGGATCAGATAACACTCTACGCATCTTTCACTCAAACCAGCACAAGTAAAGAACTGTTACTTGAACCAGATATGTAAATTTCCATGAATTCAGTAATATTGTTACAGAAGAGCATGATTTGTGAGAGATGTAACAAATTATTTGATTTTAATAAATGTTTACGAAATGGCAAATTTAAAGAAAATTCGTAGTTAGTTAATTTGATACAAAGTGAAGACATGACAGAAGACATATCAAGAACAGAGGCAAGTGAAGTTTTCTGTTGAAGTAATCTTGTTTAAAACTGTGGAAGAAACTGTAACAGGGAGTACACCCAAATTTGCAGTAGGCAGAAAGTTGATATGAGGGATGCAGTTATGTACCATGCATCCTTTCATGTATACAACAGTCTCATTTGAAAATAAACCATAACCAAATAATTGACTTCTGAATCCCACAAAATTTTACAAAATACAAGAGAGAGACTTCTAAATTCATATACCCAAATACCATATATGATGGTCTCCTAAGTAACACCATGAAACAAGGTGTGTAACGTAAACTCCGACAATAAGTGCAAGTCATGCAAGGAAAGTATTGTACACACATTTCTCAGTGTGTAAGATTGTATCACATTTATTATAAATATTAAACATATTTATGTTGTTACCAAGAGAAAAAGGGAATATCAATTGCTATTTTGTCTTGTGTATTAAAGAGCTGGTATGTACTGTGACCATTAAATTTTACAGGGGTACTAATTTCCAAAATATAATGGTCCTGTAAAATATCTAGTAATCCAGTAACCATGAGTTATGGTAATGGTGAAATATCTTGCCCTTCAGAATATACCAAAGACCTAATTAAGCTACTGTGATCTGTAAGAAAGCCGGCCACGGTAGCCGAGCGGTCTAAGGCATGCACTGTCTCGCTCACTCGGAAGCCAGGATCGGCACACAAACATCCATGCCCACTTAGGGCATGGATGTTTGTCTGCATTTTTCTGTGTTTGTCTACAGGTAGAGGCCTTGCGACGAGCTGATCACTCGCCCAAGGAGTCCTACCGTATGTGTAAGATTGAGAAAAACCGAAGTGAACGGAGTTCGTGGAGGTAGGCCTAGGCCCACTGGGGCTGTAGTGCCAAGGGGGGGAAAAAAATTCTGTAAGAAAAGGCTAATTAGTTTGCAAGAAACCAGAGTATTGCATTCCAGTTATATTTCTAACCACATCAGAACTGACAATCCAAACACTCAAATTGACCTGCCTTACAATTTCAAATAGTAGCATCTCAACTTATAAATTTATCCGCAGTTTTAGGCAGGTACAGAAATTTCTTAATCACCTATTCAGGTCTATCTGGATTATCTGATAAGCCAAAGATACTGTGAATTTCAAGAGCTGGGATAGTATAGTCAGTATAGTGAGTGGCTACGGGCTGGACAACTGAGGGGTCGGAGTTCAAGTTCTGGTAAGTTCAGTAATTTTCTTCACGTCATCCAGACCGGCTCTGGGGTCCACCCATCCTCCTATCAAACGTATCGGGAGCTCTATCCTAGGGGGTGAAGCTGACCACTCACCTCCAACTAGTGCCGAGTTCAAGAAAATGTGGACCTATACATCCATCCATACACCTTCATGGCATAGTGCTTAATTAGCTAAGCTCAGGGACAACTTTACCTTTTCCTTTTTGCTGTAAATTTCCAGTAACCATTTAATTCATTAGGAACCAAAATTTACTAAACGATTAAGTATGAAGAATTTCAAGATCTCTAAGAACAGAAAGCCATATGGAGGTATATTATCAGTCATATGAAAGCTAATGTCACACTGACACTGACAAAAATAGAAGTTGACAAACTTACAAAAGCTGTGAAGTTACATACCACTGTAATGAATTTTTTAATGTTGACATAAAACCTGTTTTGCTCTGGTGCATGGAAGTATGTAGTAAGTCACAAACGAGTGAACACCATTTTGTTTCAGTGTGCTGTTTCTGCCACCCTAGAAGTAATTTAGTGAAGGATGAGAATGGTGATCTGCTTGCAGTTTCCCACAACATATTGAATAGGTGGAAGAACTACTACTATGTTATTGAATGTGCATAGGGTCAGTGATGTTATGTAACTGCTCAGTGAGACTTCTAGCCCCACAAGTTGGGCTCCACCTCTTCACCCTGTAACAGTTCTTCCCTCACCTTCACTCCCCCCTTGTTGGTTGGTTAGTCACGTGTTTTTCGTTGCTCCTCTCCTTCTTTATTCTTCTTAGGTTGGGCACCAGTAAGCTCAGGTGGTAGCTTACAATAATCGTAGATTTATTTTGGAAAGGGGGTAAAGGTGATAGTCAACTAGTTCAGCTGTGGGTAGAGCTGGGATCTTTCTCAGAGCGTTTCTAGGGCCTTGTTTAGGACGGGGAGGGAAGTAGTTGGTTCAATGCTACTTTGCACTTAAACACTGTGAACATTTATTGAGATCAGCACTTCCCTTCACCTTATGGCACACACAGTCAATACAAAGGATGCTTATGTACAGGCCCTTATCTAGCACAGTCCTGGTATAACGGATGTTATTATCACAATTTACACTTTCTTTAGCACTCTGAATTTGAGGTTCTACAGAACAGCAAAAAACACAGATTTTGAAGAAAGTCGTCTTCTGGGTTTAGGCACCTAAACCCAGAAGACGACTTTCTTCATGGTCATCGCCGTGAAAACCTCAAAACACAGATTTTTGTTTTTAAATTGTTCCCGAGTAGCAGGCACTTGGCGACTGTTTG